ATTTTTTAAAGATATTTCCTTTCACTTGAGCACTGGTCCTGCCACCTATAATTGGTATCTAAACCTTTTTCTAGTCTGTTTTCTTTATAAAACTGCGTCTGGGCGTGTTAAAGCTCAGTTGTAAAACTTTTAGCCAATCCTAGTCGAAAGTGTCAATTTCAGTACCAATTATTCCAATTGCTGTATCTCCTATTTGACAAATCATAGGATGATAAGGAAAGCACGTGATGAAACGCTGTTTTCTGGATTTTACAATATGAATGTGGGTGGTGCTTATTATAGTAACTGCCATTTTATGTAGAGGTTGTATTTAGTACTGGCCAATAGGGCTTTTCTATAAGCGTTAAAAAAGTTGCTTCTGAAAAAAACCGCATGGGATGTACGTGAGTTTTATTATTTTTATATAGTAGCTTAAGTCATGCTGCATCGTATATCTATTTATATTAATCATTATATTGAAAAATTAACTCAAAATAGATGTATTTTTTAGGAAAGAAGTTGATCCACATTTGTTAGGGTTAACAGCTATCGAGTGGCGAGTGCAAAATCTTTACATGAAGTAGGCTAAGGACTTTGAACTGTAAGAGTTTGTGATTTTTTTATATACTTTTGTATTTAAATTCGCAGTTTTAAGTTCAATAATTTTGTTCATAACAAAAATATGATTTAGTATTTATAAGGAAAACTTTGTGTCATTTGTACATACTAGTAGTACCACTTTGATAGCTTTAGGCTTATCGTAAGAATTTTGTAATTTCTTTCTTACTATCATTACTTAGTAAGACCCACACTTCTGTTGTTGTTTTATAATTAAAACATACTAACTGATATATAAATATTTTATTCTGATATTTTGCAAAGGGGTTAAATAAAGTTAAATTACATAAATTTTATACATAAGTCACAAGTCAAGATAACATATATACAAAAGGAGCATCAATGTATGGATAAACAATGCCTACTTTATAAGTTATGCACTGAGAGGTACACGTATAGTTGTATGCAAATCATATTTAGATGCAAAAATAAAAACGTAGTGAAAGCTACACTGAGATATTTCATTAACATCTGTTTATATATCAAAAACATACAAACTGTAAATTTATTCATTATTGATATGTACACTTTATACATGTTTATACAAATGCAAAAATAACCTAAACACTGTTACCAAACAATTGTCTGAAGATGAATAATCCAAGTTGTATATTATTCAGTGAAATGTTAAAAATTGTATACATAAACCTTGAGCAGAAACTAGAACACAAAATGTGATAAAAGTAATAAAACTGAGCACAATAATGTATAATACATACAGTTCAATATAGACAAAAAAATATAAATTGTGTGCTCCTA